CAACGGGATAAGACCCCTGTAAGAGGCTGTCGGATCCCTGGCGGCTCACTGTAGACCATAAACGGCACGGCTGCTAGCTTTCGCGCTTTTTCTGCATTTTTCATTAAGGCACCGCCCATCTTGCATTTTCCTTTGGCTTTCCATCTGATCGCCTTCAGCCGCAGAGCGGGTGACAGAGACTTTTCAGACGTCGCAGCTGTGGCTTCCATATGTATGATATTTACAGAGTTGAGGGTGGAACATTTTTACTGAACAAATAAGGTTGTGGCAGCAACTCGAGAGACATATCCGGACAGTAGGGAAAGCGGTTGTGATACTGGGATGTCTCAGATGTCTCACATTGTTAGCCAGCTAATATTTGGAAGTGGTGCCCATTGGCAGTCCGACCTGGCGGATACCAAAACGGAATCCGCTTCCCGGGTGCCGCAGGCCACTCCAATAGGAAGTTTTATAGATTTGGTCATGGCCGGTGCCTTGTGCCGTCGAAGAAGATCGTTGGCGGTGTGCAGCCGTGCGTGGCTGAGTGCTAGAGTCTTCAGCTCTCTCTAGGTCGTAGTGGAGCGCGACCAAAGCAAAGTGCTCGAAAAAGTGTATATCACAATCAGAGCGCAAGATCACATGATTCAGCACAAAAACTGCTGGGGCTAAGTGCACTTGAGTTTGCCAGGTCAGAGATGTCCTTTCGGTTTCTTCTCCTTCACGTCCAACATCGACAGTCACTGGACTGGCTGCCACTAAGCCGCTGCAACTTTCGACTCTGAAAGCGATTGCCCTGCGTGCGGCGCGTTTGTGAGGATATCTTCGGGGACCTCGGCGGATCGCGTTTTGGAGGTTGGTCACTTTCAGGACGGCGGTCGTCACGGCTTAGCCGCCTTAGCCGGTGTGCTCTCAGGTCCACGGTGCCGTGAAATGGCTCCAGTGCTCCAAGCCTTGCTGCCCGGACGTGTGGAAGGCACGAGCGAGCTGCGACGTTGAACACCGCGGAACGCCGGTCACGGAGGGGTCTCGGTCTTGGCTTTTCACAGGCCCCGGCTGACCTCTGCCTGGCAGAGGATCCCCATACCCATCGTGTGCAGGGAGCGCCGGCCTTGAAATATGCCAGATCCATGCTACTGAAGCTTGTCTTCGCCACTGCATCTACATGGCAGTTACCAAAACTGTTTCAGATGCACAAAAAACCCTCCCAGTCCTGAATGCGGAATGACGCGGAAGGGCTGTGCAAGGCGAAGCAGGCAGAGATTGAACCAGAATTGAAAACGCAGCTCAGATGCTGCTTGCGAGCATGGTGGTACGTTTTGGTCTACGCTGCATCCAACAACTTGCAAGGGGAGCAGGAAACCCACCCAGCAGTTTCGGAGCAGGGATGCTTCATGTGTTTTTTTTGTGACTGTACGGACTGTTGGCATTCTGGAGGCTTTTGACGTCAGGTCTTGCGTGTGCTTCTTCAGAGGCTTCGTTTCGAAAAGCAGAGTCCTTTTCGGCTCTTCGCCATACATGCCAGCTCTGCCCTCTTAACCCACCGAGAGTATGGTAGGAGTGTGTGGGGAGATGTGTGTGTGTGTGTGTGTCTGTGTTAGTTATCGCTCCTGGAGCCACGAAGACATCCTGCCGAACTTGTCGGGTTCGGAGGCGCAGCCTTGGTGGATCTCTGCCGGTAGAACTGGGTCGACTGGGTGGTGTGCAGGATGTAGGATGTCTTCCGCTGAGGTGCTGCCAAGCTGCCCGAAGTGCAAGGCCGGAAAATGTGCCGCATGGAAATCTGAAGCTCAGTAGGGCGTAGGGGCCTGGGCTGAGTAGGGCCTAGGCCTAGGCCTAGGCGGCAGGAGGCAGGGCAGGGGGAAAAGGGTGCTTGGCTTCCGCCCAGGCAGTCGCCAGACCCAACGTGCAGATGTTTGGTGGCGATTCTGCGGGTTGTGGCACGCTTGCACTCGGTTCTTCTGGAGAGTTAGAGGGTTGGCAATCAGACGATGCTAGCCAGAAATAGTCAGAAGCTCCACATGTTTTTGCTTTGCCAGGGATTCTCACGGGCACGCCGAGGGGCGCAGAACACCAGGCGAGGGATGAGCCAGTCCCATGCCGCGCCGCGTGCCGTTCAGTGGCCGTTCCTTCCTTTTCACTGATTTCTCCGGGGCTCCTGCCTCGGGGCCTCTCGAAGAGGTACGACGCGTGGGTCAATAGCTTGGCATCGCGGCCGGATGTTAGCAGCAACTTGGCAGCCGGCAGCCTGTAGTTATTTGTTGTTAATCTTGCAGATGCTAAAAACCGCAGAAGCGTTCTCTTGCCTTGTGGAGGCCTCAGCGTTGTTTGCCTGGAAGCCCGATGCCAAGCTGAAGTCGGCAACGCATGCGCAATGAAGGCAACATAGGCGGTACGCAGTCAGCAGCTATTGCAACACTATATTGCAACGGTGCTGCGAGATTGGTCAAAGTCAGAGGCAAACAAAGTACATGGCCAGGTTGGCTGTGGACTCACAGTTCCAACCGTGAGACGAGAGCTCGAGAAGGTCGTGCAGAGGCTGGCGGCGACATGGGAGATTCAGCGATCTGGAATTCAAGTCAAGCCAAGCCGACAGATTCCCCGGTGGTCGCCTTATACGGGTCGCGCACCCAGAACTTCACCAACACTGCTTGTGGGAAGGGAAGGCACCTGCGGTGAGGTGAATCCCGAGAACCCCGGACTTGCCAAAGAGCTGGTCGAGAAGGGAGCAGGGGGCCTCAAGGGGGCCTCAAGGCCTGGGGACCGGCCGTCCGACCAAAACTGAAGCAAAGGTCAGCCTGCCGCTGCCGGCAGCTGCTGCCATCGAAAAACTGAGTCAGCAGGCGAATGGGACGGGACGTCAGATGCATCTCTTTTGATCTCGTTCTGGTCAGAGGTGGCACAAACCGAGGAGATCATGCAGGCCGGCTCGACAAAATAGGTCACACTGAGCAGCATTCTCGGCTTTCTCCTGCAGGCGACCTACGTCCTTTGGGGCCAAGAGGGCGGCTGCGAGATCCGTGCGCCTTTCGGGACACCTCAGAATCGTAGATGATGGCGTTGCTGTAGTGTGCTCGTTGCTTGGGGCATTTTGAGAGGACCTGCCTTGGACGGCTTCTGCGATTGGTTGAAACACAGGGTCGGATGAGCGTGGAGTTCAAGCCGGACCGAGAAGCCGTGACTTTCGAACTTTCCTTTGTGATCCTTGGTGTAGCTCTTGGCTTCGAGGACGTGGTCGGGATCGTGAAGCAAGCGATGGGACCCAGGACCTTCCGGCGAAACACGCCAAAGTTCAAACACTTGAAGAAGCTCTTCGTTTCCTATGATCCATCCACAGGACGGAGCCTCTTACCTTGGAGAGGCAAGGAGCTCATGCTGAGAACAGACTTCGAACAAAAACCGAGGACGACCTTGCACAGCACTGCATTTTCTGATGTTTTCTGTCAGGTCGGTGCCGATGGACATGTACCAGGAGTTTCGAGAGCCTCTGTCTCAGTGCTTGCCGGAAGTCTTCTTCGGGCTGCAGGAAGTCAAAATTGGAGACGGCACGAAGTTGGAGGCACTTCAAACCATGAACCTGCAAGCTGCTCTTCTCACTCATAATTTATTGAAGGTGACAGCCATCATACGGGTCATGGCCAGGTTCTCGTTCGCGCCTTACCGTGATGTAGATTCGGAGCTGTCCTCGTTGCAACATAGTCGGATGACTAAGCATCGCAAACGCCAGGGGTGGCAGCTCCACCGTAGGTGGCTGGAGCCTGAACGCCTCCTTGGCCACCCGTGTGGACCAGGCAGCGCATAGCTGCCGATTGTTCAAGAACGGTCATCGCTTCGGCTCTGTCCCGTGTCCATGGATGCCTGTTGCTTGGCTCACAGCGATTACTCCAGGCACGTGAACAACGATGGAAGGTGCTTCAGCTCCCCGAACAAGAGCTTCATAAATTATGCATGCTGCATGACAATATGGCGTCTTACTTGATTGTACATGAAAGAACACAGCGTCCATCTCCTTGGTCTGGCTCGATGTTTGCAGAGAAAGATCGATGACGGCCTACTATGATGTCATTGTGATCGGTGGCGGCAGTGGCGGAAGCGCCTTCTCCAAGCGTGCCGCAGGCAGCCTCTGACCTTGTGAAATTGTGTGCACGATAGAGGATGATCACGTTGCAGTGTCACTCGTCCTTGACGTAAACTTCGCGACACGCGAGGCTATGGTGCGAAGGTCGTTCTGATCGAGCGCGGGCCGTCCTGGAACGAGCAAGGCCGAGCTCGGCTCCGCTGAAAGGGGTAAACCGGACCGTGCAACGACGTGTAACGACGTGACGAATCGGTCGCTTGGCTGCGTCCTTTCAACGGCCCGCGATTTTTCGCGAGGCCAGCGGACGGGTGCTGGTCCGGGAGGGACCTGCGTGAACGTGGGATGCGTGCCGCGACCCGTCTTTAAAAAGCCTCTCGCAAGTCGATGTTCTGTCTTTGGTGAGTTAAGGAAGAAGCTCATGTTCATGGCTGCCGCTCACCGCGAGATGATGGTGGGAGAGGCCGCCACTGCCAAGGCAGGAGCTGCGCTGAGCTGCGCTTCCCTGCGGTGGCCTGCCGGAGTTGCAGGGCTACGGCTTCGCAGTGCCGGAGGGCGCTGGGAAGGTTCAGTGGGAGGCGCTTCAGCAGCGTCGTGACGAATATGTGAAGAAGCTGAACAAGAACTACACGGCAGGCTGGCAGAAGGAAGGCCGGGGAGTGACATTCCAGCAATCTCACGCATGGAATGCATCTCACGATAGGTGTCGAGATTATCGAAGGCCAAGCCCTCAGATTTGCAGCATCACAACCAGCTGCCGCCACTCCACCGACCCGGAAAAAGCCACCACACCCCAGAATCTCAAGCTGGAAACAGGAATCCAGGAGGGCGGGATGGCACGGGAATGACATGGAGCCGGTTTGACGGGGCAAGGAGGGCAGATTTGGTGAGACTTTGGAGGGACAACTTGGCGACAGGACAAGAGGTGGAGTGTTGGCAGCAGGGACAGGGGGCGTATGGGAGCCCATTTCTGGCTCAACAAGAGGGCAGAATCCGCGGGTGGGACTGGCCACCGGGCAGGGGTAGGGCCAGCGGCCAGCTCCTAGAAGGCGATGAAGGCGACTACCGGGTTGGAGGGAAAGTGTGGAAAGTTCACTGGCGCTCGCCGCGCCGAGGTCGGTGGATTGTTGGAGCCGAAGCCCAGATGCAAGGGTGCCGCTTATGCAGGTACAGCTCAGTTCGTTGACTCGAGCACCGTGGAGGTGTAACTCGGCAGTATGTCTGCAAACGATGGAGTTCTCAAGCAGTCCGGAGTTTTTGCAGCAAGCAAAGGCAGCGCAAAGACGGCAGCAAGACAACACTTCGTGGAAAGAAGATCCTCATAGCGTGCGGTGGCATCCCAGATGCTCCGCCTATCCCAGGCATCGAGCATGCGAGTCTTGGCCGCAGGCTTGTGCATCCAGCATGATCACTTTCAAACTTGATTTATACACGAGAGAGGATTAACAGTGACGGCTTCTTCGAGCTCAAGAAGCAACCCAAGAAGGCACGGGAGTCCACGAAGAGGTAGTTATCTTGTCGGTTGTTCTGTTATGTTACTGTTATGTTGCTTTCCGGCTGTCGTCACTGCATGTGTCCAATTATTGCTCGTGACGAGCTTATTTTCAAAATTGAGCAGCTGTTCATGTTCCCCAAGCTCGGCAAGACCTAAGCCAGGTCTGAGGGTTACGACATGCATGCGGCATGTGAGCTCATATTGGAAGAATGCACGGTGCAGACTTTTCACTTAGACATAGACAATGCAGCAGCATAGTCATGGGTACAGATTGGGGTTGTGGGGTACTGGCGGAGACGGCATGGAAAAAGCAAATCATGTCATGTGCTGCTCATTCTGCTCATGGCAACAGGGTCGAGGAATTCAGGTTCAGTTTGGAGACATCTCGTATCTGTAGGAGTTTGTCTGACAGATATGCGGATCTTGGTGTCTTCACGTGGAGTAGTCCAGTCCACAGTTGTGCCTTTCTCCTGGCAGGTTGCAGTCATTGGGGCCGGCTACATTGCAGTGGAGATGGCTGGGATACTCCATGCGTTGGGATCAGAGACGCACCTGTACTTCCGTGACCTGGCAAAAGAGAACATGAAGAGTTGCTGCGAGTATGTAGCTAGCTGTATATCGATAGGGTTCGAGCGATATGAGCACGATGTCCATCCGATACGTCCCGCGGATATTGCATCGCTTCAGCTGATGCTAGTATTGCCCGGATGCATTGTCGTACGTGACAACAAATCGGTGACAACCGTGGTGCGACCTACCGCAAAGGAGAGAGCATCCTCCCATACACGCACTTTTTCCACACCGCTGGCCAGGTGTAGGGCGCAGCTTGCACGGGTATTCCCATTGCTCCTTGGGGCCAACGCGCACTGCGGGTGAGTGCTGGTGACAGCAGGGCGATGGGCTATCCCATCTGCTGGGGAGCAAGCGAGCCAGGAAGGTGCTGCGGGCACCGTGCATGGTGACTCTTGCATCTCTTGCATCCTGGCCATGAGCTCTTCTGGGAGGATGCTCTAGTCAGCAAATGCACGCTGCTGGCCGTTCTTGGCTTGTGTGTCACCGTGGCGATTTTCCTTAAGTGCAGTAGCAGCCGCGCACCTAATCAACAATCTCTTGGTTACAAGGTTTGTCAAATGCGCATTGGATCGTGAACGGCTCTGGAAAGGATGGCTAGAAAGACGAAGGACTTTTCCTTTGGTGCAGCTTGGAGACCCGGACATGCTGCAGCAGCATGTGGTGGTTTCAGGATGTTTGCACACAGCACGCGTCCCATCGTTCTTGTGGGTGTGGCCAGTTGCTGAAAAAATTCTGCATGCTTGATGTCGCACTCCGCCCTACCCCAAATAGGAAAGAGCATCACCCCCTACACAGTGCCTGGCCATGGGAAGAGGATGCTGAGCGTGCCGTCCAAATTCCTTTCCGCAAGGAGACTGTGTGCAGCGGAATCCCTGTAATCTCTGCAGTATTGATGGCCGGGCTGAGAAGATCTGAGAAGGGCTGCTGAGTCAGTACATGCCCATGCTGGCCTCTGCTTCTGTAGTATCGTTGACTGCTGTAGCGGCTCGTGCTTCCCATGCTCGAGTCCTGAGGTGGTGACACAGTGCTACGTCGTGGCTTCGATCCCTTCATAGTGAAGCTCTTGATGGAGGTTCGCAAGCCTCAGGAAAGCACCAGCAGTGGATTCGGAGGTGCGTTCTGCAGGCCTTGGAGCATCATGGCCCCGTGTTGCACGGTCACTTAGACTGGCTCAGATTAGCCAAGCTGGTGCCGAGCGTTCTTTCCTTGATGTCTTGGGGAAGTGGCACCCTTGGTTGCAGCCGAGGAAACAGCCAGCCTTCTCGCATCACCAAGCAAAGCAACGGGCTGCTCACCTACTCTGCAATCGAGGGCTCGAATGCTCAGCAGAAGGATTACACCGACTTTGACTCTCAGATCTTGACATTCCTCGAGGATCTAGAGGTGTTCCGATTTCTAGCTGTATAACCAGTAGAGTTTCAAATGTGCCTAGGACTGTATACTTCTCGCCATTGGACGAAAGCCTGTGACAGCCGCCGTGCAGAATTGGCAATACGTGGGGACTTCCCTTTCCGTGCTGAGTTCGAGACATGTCGCGACTTGCCTCACGCCGAGCCTGACAAGGATCAACTGGGCTTGCAGAAGTGCGGCGTACTGACAAATAAGTCAGGCCGACTGAGCTTAGTCTGTGGGGTCATGGATCGAAACTGACTTAAACGGATGTCTCCAGGTCATGTCGTGGTGGATGCTTTCGAGAATACGAATGTACCAGGACGGGAATTGATCGATACGCGTCGGCACATGAAGAACCTCTGCAAGGAATCTACGCCATCGGAGATGTCCCTCGGTTTGGACATGTTTGGACCCTTCCTCGGTGGCAGAGTCCACGTTTCGTACCGCTCCGAGGCTACGAGCACCGGCTTCGAGCTGACGCCGGTGGCAATTGCCGCGGGCCGGCGCTTGGCAGATCGCCTCTTCCTGGGAGAAGGTCGGATTAGGAGAGAGCCTTTTTATGGGTTTGAGTTCCTTGTGTCACCAAAGACTCTCTTGTCGCGGAGCTAGAGCATGCTTCAATTTTCCTTCGCTTTCAAGGTCGCGCACGGATAGCCTATGAGCAGATCGCGACGGCCGCTTGGCGCATTGGGATCATCGCAGCGTGGAGCTTTCGGCCTGGAGAGACGCGCGCAGCCGTGTGCAGCCGTGCAGAGGTCGTCTTCAGCCACCCCCCCATCGGCTGCATCGGGCTGACAGAGCCGCAGGCGAAAGCCGAATTTGGCGAGGTGACTCAGCGCTCAAGCTGACCTTTTCTTTACGTGCTGTTCGCACAGAGTACAGCAGTTGGGTGAGTTCTTTGCTTGGCGCCGCCAGAAGGCCAACGTCGAGGTCAAGCAATCCAGCTTCGCGAGCATGCTGCGACTCTTTCAGCAGAGCAGACATGCATGGTGCTTTGCCACATGTCGCCCCTCCGGAAGCCTCGCCATGACAAAGGTATGCATTCAACGACGACGGCAAGAAGGTTCAGCTCAAACCGCAGCCTGAAAGTCACTCCAAGCAGTGTTGCAGTACAAAGCAGGTCAAGACCGGTCTCAAACTCGTTCTGAAGATGCCGGAAGAAACCCGGCGGAAGGAAAGCAGAGCAATGCAGACCGGTATTGCAGGGCATGCAGGGTTTGGCTTCGTTTCTGGCTTAGGAACGCGTGGTTGGTCTGCACTGCATTGGCCCTTACTCCGATGCTTGGAGCGCACTCGGTGTCTGATGTTTTATAAGCTTTTGCGCTTTCTACACTCTCCTTCTTGTCCTCGTTGTTGTAGCTGCTGCTGCTGCTGCTAGTGGTGGCGGCGGATGCGGCGGGAGTGTTTGGTGGCGGTGGTGGCAGCGGCGTGGGTGGTGATGGTGGTGGCGGCAGCTGTGGTGGTTTCGTTTCGTTTTACACCGCCAAGGGAGTCCAGGCTGTGCGACAGGATTTGTGGGTCAGGCTTCTGCCCGGTCGCTGGTGCGACACGCATAGTGCACCATCCCGACAGACAAAGATGGAGGAATTGCTGTGATGACAAAACGCTCTCGGAATATCTCATGTCAAATGAATGGTCAACTGTACATCCACAGCCGTTATCCGCGAGAGCGAAGAAGCCAACGGTCCATGACCAACCCAAAGCATTCCGCAGACCTATGAAGAAGTCAAGTGTTGCCACAGTGGGTGCATGACGCCAGCAATGCAACAGATTCATCGTTCCCGGTTCATTGGCCTGGTCCTGGTGCATGTAGTGCAGAACAATCTGCATCAAATGCACGGGCGGTATTGAAGACGGGAGGCCGTGCCATTGACCAGAGCCGTGAGCCAGCGAGAGTCCAAGGAGAGCCGTGTGTGTTGTTTTGGATTCCCTGGGTGCCACTAGCCGCAAAAGCGGCCATACCCGTCCCACCGTCCGAAATGGTGCGTTTCCTGGGTTTGGCCATTTTGGCCAACTTCTGTGCTGGCAGGAGTGTGCATAGGCGTGCGAGATCAGAGGCCGTGCGTCGGCGACGACAGCAAACGAGACATGCAAGATGCTCCATGGAAGATGTCTCCTCCATTGGCGCCGGGGGAATATCACCATAGTTCAAGCGCAACACAACTCATATGCCGCATCGACTTGCTCAACGTTCCAAACGACTCCCCAGGTTGCTGGCGTGATGGCTAGAATCCCACAACCGGAGCTGCACTATCTACTTCGTCTTCCAGGTTGTCCGAGCCATCGAGATCATAATCCTCTGCCGAGCTGCCACCATACCGTGGATGTTCCGCTCCCAGTATCGAGGGGAGCTCCAAGTCCCAAACCCCGTGAGGTATGTCAGAGTGAGGGGCCTTTGAGGTAGCTTTTTTTTGGTGCAGTGTTGGTGTTGCTGTTGTGGTTGGTGCTGTTGTTCTTGTGGTTGTGGTTGTGGGTGTTGGTGTTCGTGTTGTGGTTGGCAGTGGTGGTGATGGTGTTGTTGTTGTTGTTGTTGTTGTTGTTGTTGTTGTTGTTGTTGTTGTTGTTGTTGTTGTTGATGTTGTTCATGTTCTTCTTCATTTTATCATGGCTTGGTTACCCCCCTAGACCCCCCTTCAAGCGATGCCTCCGAGCGTCTAGTGAGAAATGACAGTTCCGACATGTGAGTCTTGCTTGGCAAACTCTCGGCCGGGCAGGCCAACAGCATGCAAGGCCTCAGCAGCAGCAAGGCCTTAGCAAGGCCTCAGCAAGGCCTCAGGCCCTGTCAGAACCTCCCGGCCAATCAGGGCCGTGGGAGGCTTCGTGTGAAGGTTACGCAACCAAGATAGAGGCCTTCCCGAGGTGCTACTGTGACACATGTCTTGCCGAGGCTTTGGCAAGCGTTCGCTAAGGCTTTTTTCGAGGGGGGGGAAAACAAATCCACGATTTTATTATTCTTGCTGTTTTTGCGTTTGCTGCTGCTGCTTCCGGTGTTGTTGTTGTTGTTGTTGTAGCCGCTATGGATCACAGCAGGCTGTGTAGCATTGCTAACAGGGCTCTGGGTACCAACGCTAGAGGCTCGCAACGGCCCCCTTCTGCGAAGCTTAAGGGACTGTCCTCTTATTGAGCCATAGCTATTCCCGGAGCCGCGCGCCGCTGTGATCTACCGGGTCCCAATTCCCGGGCCTCTCTCTGCAGTTATACAACCTTGGCAAGAGGTAAGCGGTAGGGTTCTCACCTTTCCGCGGGGTGATGGGAGTCGGATCGAGTTCTCTCTTTCCGGCGAAACTAGCGGAAGGCGCGTCGACTGTGCCTCAGTGCTTTTCTCCGCCGATGCCTTTACATTTACAAAAGGACCTGCCGCACCAAGCCATTCAAGGGGCGGCCCCAGTCATGGGTTGGCCATCTTCTGCACCTGGGTATCCTGAAGGAAGCTTTCGAGTTGAGGCCCCGTTCCGCTCCTCTCTTCGACTTTCCAGCTACACGACAAGACACCCAGGTACAGCTCACGGTCTCTCCTGCGCAGTTTTGCTGGCGCTCTGGTTTTGCGCTTTAACTGGTACACTTCAGCAAGAAGGACACGGATCGTCTGGTATTCTCATGCAGTCTTCTTCGAGCACTAGTTTTCCCTTCAACGGCACAGTGGACTGCCACCGGCTGCTACGAAGCCAGAGCGATCGAGAGTTCTTCGTCACGGTTGAGTGTTTTCTGCGCTTCACTTCTGTTCAGCCGCCAGCGCCTGGGAGCAAGTCAGACTCAGGACAGGCTAGGCGCAACGTGGTGACTCACAACGCGTCAGCATCCTCCCAATGCTGGCCCCGACGGGCATTCCAGGGACTCCTCTTGCTATGGGGTGCCCTTGTGGGCCTAGAGGGGCTATCCTCTTTGGAGGGGGAGGCCTCTCGGGGGCCGCCGGGCCAGACTTGTCTACAAGACAAGGCGCAGATTGGGACACTGGGGACTCAGGTTCAGCAGAGTTGGCCAACGTCTTCAGTTCCAGCACGGTGTCTACTGGGTCAGGCAGTGCTAGGAGTGACGGCCCACGTGTTTTTGCTTGACGACGAATTATCCTTACGGCCCATCGCTGGTAGTCGGGAGTTACCTAGTGTGGGACGCCACTAGACGGGAACTCTGGGAGACGGCTCTTCTGAGTACGACCCACCGGCTGCCAGTTCATGACTCACACTGACTGAGGGTGACGGAAGCTACATGACGACGACTTTGTGAGTCGGGCTGTCACGTTAGGAGTCGGGCATCGCTCGCGTAAAAACGGGCAACGCCTTTGTAACTGAAGTCAACTTCTTCTGGCCTATCCCCTAGAGGCTGGTGCCCAAGAGCTGTTGCTGCTGTGTACAGTCTGCAGCGCTGCTCTTCTTGACTTAGGCCCTTTCTCTTTTAACGTTTGTAGCATCGGCTCCTCTTTTTCCTTGACTGAGGATCCTATAGGGGTTGTGCGGTCTTCTCTGTTGGTTCTGTTAGGTCTGTTCGTTTTGGCTTGTTTTACGCGAGGCCTCGGGGCCTGACTTCGGTCGTAGTTCTCCGAAACGGATGAAGGAGGTACCTGCGATTCTCGCATGGGCAGTCCCCTCGCGCAAAGCGCCAGTCTGTTTCTTTTTCTTTACAAGGCCGCCGGGCGAAGACCGCGTAACCTCTATAAGAATGTCGGCAGGTCAGATTCTAAGGGAGTGGTGCTGGCTTATGGCTCACCTCGGTGGCGCTGGCTCACGGCACAATCGGGGATGGCACGCTTCCGAAGTTTCTGCTCGCCCGCAATGAGCAGAGCCCGCTCGCTCAGCGTCCAATAAAAAATTGTTGTTGTTGTTGTTGTTGTTGTTGTTGTTGTTGTTGTTGTTGTTGTTGTTGTTGTTGTTGTTGTAGTAGCCGCTATGGATCACAGCAGGCTGTGTAGCTTTGCTAACAAGGCTCTGGGTACCAACGCTAGAGGCTCGCAACGTGCCCCTTCTGCGAAGCGTAAGGGACCGTCCTCTTACTGAGCCATAGCTGTTCCCGGAGCCGCGTGTCGCTGTGATCTACCGGGTCCCAATTCCCGGACCTCTGTCTGCAGTTATACAACCTTGGCATGAGGTCGTAAGCGGTAGTGGTTTTCACCTTTTCCGCAGGGTGAAAGGAGTCGGTTCGAGTTCTCTCTTTCCGGCGAAACTAGCGGACGGCGCAATCGCCAATGCACCAGCATTCATTTGAGAGCATTCGCAAGAAGGCCTTTCGCAAGGCTTGCAATAAGGTTCATAGAACACAAGAAAGTATCCCGTACCGGAATGGTACGTTGACGCCTGAACATCTGCGTCGCAGTGGACTCACCCCCCCCTCCCCTCCCCCCCTCCCAGTGCAGCCTAGCTCCACGATTTCTCCTTCAGGTCCCTCAGGTTTCTCCGCCAGTTTCCGCTCGCGCCCGAGAGGCGGTCGTGCCAGCAAGTCTCTTCGTGTTCTTTCCTGGAATGCAGGGCACCTTGGCATGCAACAATGGGCAGAAGTGAAGACATGGCTTCGCACGGAGGCCAAGTCAGTCTGTGACATTCTTGTCCTTCAGGAAACCCACTGGAGTGAGACAGCAGAATTTGATGTCGAAGGCTGGCACTGCGTAAGCTCCGCCACAAAAGGGGCTGCTCGAGCACCTAAAGGTAAAGCCACTTCAGGGCAACGCCCCAAGCAAGGCGCTGCCACGCAGCCGGCTGTTCACGACACAAGCCGAGCGGACGGCGTCATGGTTCTTCTCTCTCCGCAGATAGACAAGCAGAAGATAAGATGGCGCGAGCAACGCCGGGGAAGGCTCATTCAGGTCATCTTCCCGTGGCTTGGCTCGTGTGCATGTACTAGCGGTTTACCAACATGCCTGGTCTTCTAAGAAGACTCCACAGCAGAACAAGGATGACCGCTCACACCTGCTCCGCGATCTGTCGGCTGCGATACGGGCCATTCCAGCGCGAGATACTTTTCTCTTGGCAGGAGACTTTAATGCTCGACTGACCCCGCAGGAGGGTCTGGTAGGTCAGTGTAGCACCAAGCCAGAGCAAACTCAGATGCAGGATGAATCGTTCCAAGCCTTAGTCTCCTCCCATCGGTTGGTAGCTCTTAACACATGGTCTAGTGGTGCAGGTCACACTTTCTTCCTGAATGGTCAGGGATCACAAATTGACTTCCTGCTCACTTCAGAAGCCTCGGCCAAGGGCCTGGCAAAGCAGTCTCGGCCGTGCAAGGATCTTCAGCTCGGCAAATGGAAGAGGGGCGGCCACCTTCCAGTCTTGGCTCAACTCAGACCCACCCAGCACTGGAATCTGCCAAAGCCTAC